ATATGTATGTACAATATTCAAAAATTACTACGAGCTTATAGGAACCCTGTTGATAATATCGTCAACATGAATGAATTATTCTATGCCTGAACTATCATCAACCGAATATATAAAATACTCGCGTATGTATATACATGTTAGAGGTAAAGTCCAACGTCTAATTAAAATGAAAATTGCAAGTTACGCGGCGGGATGACGGATGTTCTTGCGAGAACGATAGAAATACTAAATGTAATACCATTCGTTGTGTCAATAATGTTGATTTTTAGTTCGTCGGGCAATTGTTCTTCGCGGATGAAACAAATATATTTGCTCCATAGACTTTACCTGTAACGCATACGATTAGAGCAGTTACTTCTAACCAGCATAATTATTTCATTGAAAATTGACACAGACGTAGAAATATTATGTCTTCCTTTCAAACGGCCTCTCCTCGAGAGATACCGCGCCGTACCATCATCCGTTGACAATTTAGGCGTGATAACTAGAAGTTATTTATAATTATCTGTATACGTACGTATCATGATTCCCCTTAATAAAGACGAACATTTATCGATTCACATAAAAAATCATGCTGGTCTTTGATATTCTAATTCATGCTGATACAATTATATACACCGTAGTTAATATACATCAATAATCAGTCGTGTGTATGATTGCGTGGTCAAGTCGGACCATTACATTATCACAAATAAATGCTACAAATTAAATGTCCTATCAATTGTCTTCTTTGAACTTTAAATGAACAGACCCGACAAATATTGTTAAAAATCGCTTATCGCTTTGTAACGGATTCATTGAAATGAACTTCGTGCTTTGGAAAACGGTTGAAAAAAAAAGAAAAGAAACTTGGAAGAATCGATTGTAAACCGAAATCAAATTTGTTTCCTAGAACCGTTTTAACTCTAGAATGGATACGCGTGAATTTATCCATGACGAAATGCCTCCCATCTTAAAAAATTCCTATGGAATCTTCGAACGAACCCTTCCTTCTTCGGGTACTCGAAACAGTTTGACTTTTTCGGTGATGAAACTCCTGCAACGGATTTACGCGCGCGTAATGTCACCGTGGTATTAAGACAGCGTGTTGCATGTTCGGGGTCTCTGGCAACAACAGAGACTTCGCAATCTTGCCGCAGGGCTGGACTCTTCCGATCACCGTTCCTCGACACTTTCGCTTCCTCCGCTTTCCGGCTGAGGCCTGGCGATTTGATAGGTGATCAAATACTCCGGATACGCTTGTTCACCTCTGTAGACGACGTATTCAGGGAAGACCAGGCCACCCTGCGACGGCCTGCCCATCACGCTGTGATGGCCGGGCGGCGCATGAGCCATTTTCATCGCGGAGAATTGCAAAAATGACTTGCCAAGCGTCACGCGGCAGAGTAATAAATGTCTACAGGAAAAAACGAACGAGTTGCGTTTGAATAGTTACGCCGTGCATAATTTACGTATCGATCTTTTATGATCCATCAGTCATTTGTTACTCACCTGTGGCAAATGTAGCAACTCCGATCCTTATGGGCTGGACAGCCGGTACCTCCGCATATCCCGTACACGTATTGGTTGCTTTTACTGCTGTGCTCGGCGAAATAAATTCCAGCCCCAAACATACCACCGATGTAAGCATGTCGTTCATCAAATCCTTTCTGTACAATGGCGTTGATAAATGGACTGCCATGGAACAGCATTCTTTCGTTTGCTTGGGGCAAGGTTGAGCCGGGAGTGGTCCTGGAACCAGTGCCAGGGGACGAAGGTGCCGCGGCACCGACTTCTTCTGCCACCTCCTGCCTCCTGTGCGCGTAACGCTCCCACAGTTTGCGATTTTGCACTTTTTGTATCTGTTCCAGGGAGAAATTGACAATTAACGAAACGGTACAGCTGTGTCCTCTATCGTAGTCGTAACAGGCGTACCCTAACTATGTTGTATCTAGAAAATATGCCACCGGAGTGGCCGTTATCTCTATGTTGCCTAATAGTACTCTGCATTTCTTCCTCGACGGCTAAAAATTCCTTGTCTTCCGCTAATAAATCCACTAGAAGCGTTCCAGGTGTGAGCGTTGGCTGCCAAGGAGTGCCAGCGGTGGTGTTCAAAAGTTTCTCCATTCCTTTGATCAGCTTATGCCTGTATCCGTACGCAGAAACGCCGACTTGCTTCAGATCCTCGTGGCCCATTTCCGCCAGTATGTCCAACGTGATCTGTTCTCGTTCGAACAATTCCAACAGATGTTCCAAGCCAAGACTCTGGAGGAAACCAGCCACGGTTGTGATATTCGAATTGTCTTTCGAATCTTTGGAATCTCTCTCGGAACATGTTTCGGATGGAGGCATGGGACTCAAACAAGAAGACGGTCTGGCGAGCGGTACGCACAAAGTCATGGCGGTTCCCGAGGGCATGATGACGGTTTCCTGGGTAAGCGGTGGCGGAGGTGTAACTGGAACTACACCGAAATTAATGAATATGAAGTATCGTGTATTTACAGACAATGAAACATAGTTTTCGAGTGAAAGGTTGCGCATACCTGCAACGATACTGGGCGGCCTGCTGTTGATAGTACTATTACCATTACCAGTCAGGTTAATGGCTACCCCAACACCGCCATTACCGGATGGTACCGAAGGTACTACTTGCTGTGTAGCCATAGCATCCTGCAACAGACACCTCACGTCGTCGGCACTAGCTAAATCCACAGGAGTTTGTCCCTCTTGATTCTTCAAGAAGGGATCAGCTCCGTGGGCTAGCAAAAGGGCGCACAGTTGCGTCCTCCCCTTCTGCGCTGCCTCGTGAAGCGGCGTGAAACCCCATTTGTCAGTCGCATTCACTACAGTATTATACTTGATCAATAGCGCAGCAATGTCTAAGTGACCGTAGCTCGAAGCGTTGTGCAGGGGTATCAATCCTCCTTTATCCTGAGCATTCACGTCGGCTCCACGTTCAAGCAAAAACTCTGCTACCTCCAGGTTATTGTATCCCGCTGCATCAAAATGCAATCGCGTTGAAATACATCATGTAATCGGGGGAGAAGCGGTACGACTTACCGGCTAAATGTAACGGAGTGCTGTTGCGACCCTGCGCATCCCTGCAATTGATATTGTCTTGGGTAACCAGTCGTTGCACTCTGGCCAGATTCCCTTTCTTCGCCGCGTCCAGAAGAGCACTGTTTCCACGTAACAGGTCCGCTACATCTTGATCGCCGTCTCTGACTAAATCCAACGGGGTCGCACCGTCTCTATTCTTTTTCGTAGCGTCTGCACCGTGTCTCAACAACAAGCGTACTATTTCATATTTTCCTTTGGCAGCAGCTTCGTGAAGCGGAGTGAACTTCCATAAATCCGCAACATTCACCGATGCACCGTGTTTCACTAACAATTCCGTTACCTCGTAATGACCGTAAGAGCAGGCATTGTGTAAGGGAACCAGTCCACTGAACATAGAAAAACTGAACGTTAAGAACATTGAATGAAAATAACGATAAGATAGAAGGCAGAGTTTCAGAATATAATTACCCTTTATCTTTGGCGTGTACGTCTGCTCCATGTGCCAATAAATATTCGACTACAGGCACTCTATTAAATCCCGCTGCAAAGTGCAGCGGTGTGGAGTGTCTACCATCCAAGTCGCGACAATTCACAGCATGCGGAGTCGTTTGCAAAATTCTTTCTACCGCCGCTAAATCGCCGGATTTACTTGCCTCCAAGAGCTGCGCTTCCGCGTCGTCTGTCCCGCTTGGCGGATCTATAAAACAAAAATGAGAACGGAAACATTCTTTGGTTACAAAAGTACTTTCTGGTTTGAGACAAGTTAGAAGTCGAACCTTGTAGTATTTTAAGGACATTTTCTGCAGCTACTTGTGCCGCAGTATAGCCCTGAAGCGATACTATAGATGGATCAACATTGTATGATAACAATATTCTGCAAGCTTGCACATTGTCTTCTCTAACGCACCTGTTTATACAACAATATTTTTAATGAAAAAAAAAAGGAAATCAAATGTCTCTTCAAAGAATAATAAACTGAACAGTCGCAACGTTTTATACGGTTGACGGTACCTGTGTAGTGCAGTTTGCCCTAATCCATCTAAAGCATTGACTTTAGCGTTATGTCTAAGTAGCACATCCATTGCATCGTAATGAGAATGATCAGTGGCCACGTGAAGTGGCGTTAAAAAGTCTTTATTTTTCTCGTTTAAGGCAGCATTTTTCCTAATCAATGATTCTATTACTTGTTTTCTCTTGGGATAGGGAGATGCAACGGCACAGTGCAGTGGTGTATCCCCAGTATATGGGTGTTTAAAGTTTACAACTTCTTGGGACAGGTACTTTTTTAACTTAGTAAGATCTGCCTGCCTGCAGGCATCCAAGAGGCAGTGTCCCTTGTATTCGTCTACAATTAAAGTGTATCTAACAAAGTCATGTTCTGCGTGTACCATCTTTTTTTTTAACTATAAAACACAAGACAAAAATAATCAACGTACATCCTAGTCTTTCTTGTAATTCCAATGTCGGAGCCACATCGATAGCGCTTTTACTGTGGCAGTTTAATTGAGTCGGATCTGCACCCTCGCTTAAAAGTAGCGAGCACACCTCGGCTCTGGATTTACTAGCAGCTTCGTGCAGCGGAGTGAATGCCCACAAGTCACTTGCATTAACAGCTGCACCGTGCTTAAGAAGTGCTTCGGTTACTTCAAAATGACCATAAGAACAGGCATTGTGGAGTGGAACAAGACCTCTGTAACACACGTGTTACTAATTACAATATGCTAGTGTCTATGAAAGATTTACTCCACCGGCAAAAATATTTACCCTTTATCCTTTGCATGCACGTCCGCACCGTTTTGCAATAAAATCTGCACCACTCTGGATCTATTGTACCCAGCAGCTAAATGCAGTGGTGTAGACCTTCTACCATCGCTCGCATGGCAGTTTACATTTAATGGATTTAGAAGTTGCAGGAGACGTTCCTCATTTCCCGATCTTGCTGCCTCTAACAACTCATCCTTTTTATATTCTCCTGTTAATACTGGTTTAGTTGCAGGATCTGCTAATTCTAAAGCTGTTTTCCCTTCCGTGTTTCTTATATTCGCGTCTGCTCCATGTTGCAGCAGGGCAATACAAACATCTATTTTACCCTATAATAAGGATCAAAGTATGAAACAACAACTTTCAAATCAATTGATAATCTGCAGTTAAAATAGCCACCAGAAATACCTTAATGGCAGCTTCATGCAGTGGAGTATAATTCCAATTATCTCTAGTATTTGGATTAGCTCCTGCTTCCAAGAGGAGTCTCACCACATCGGAGTGGCCGAAAGAACAAGCATTGTGCAAAGGATGTAAACCACCATCGTCGCGCGCTTGAATGGATGCTCCAGCAGAAAGTAAAAATTCTACTACATCCCTCCTACCGTAACCTGTGCATTTAAAAATGAGAAAAATCAATTATCACGGTCCCTTACGAAATTATTTATAATATCAACGTGTAAGAACATTATCTCAACGATAAATAATTAATATTTCTCTGCCGATCGAAGAGTAAACAAAAACCGTTGAATTTACCGAGGCAATCATTTATAACTACGGAATGACAACATTGGAAAGTTAATGTTTGCAGCGTTTAACATTCACGACACGATATTAAAATACCGTGTCCTCGATTGTGAATGACGTATGGTGGGAAATCATCGGCCGAATGTTAAATTTCGTTATCGAAGGTGGATTGAAAAAAGAGTTAATGGAACAACGAGCTTACCAGCTGCAAAATGCAGGGGGGTGGACTTGCGTCCGGCAGTGTCTCGAGCATTGACCGTCTTCGGTGTAACCAACGCCTTTACCCTCGGGAGGTCTCCAGTTTTGCACGCCTCGAACAGTTCTCTTAAAGGGTCAGCATTCCCCGATCCCGACAGGGAATCAGCATTTGTCAACGTCGATCTACGTCCTGCCATTTTTACACCGCCATTTTCACGCCACTGTCCCGATGGATACACTTCACTGGCTCATAGTGTTGAAAGCTTTCACGACGACACCGAGATGAGTTGCTATGGCACAACTCAGTGGCGCCGCCTTCCACCTAGAAACACTCATTTTTTAAAACTCCTCCGCCATATGAAGCAATACTGCGGCAGGATGCAAAGGACACGAATATAAATAGAGAATCTTATTCTAAACGTTTGATCAATTTCACGATACAATTTGCCATGCACATATGCCATGCTTTATTTGCATTTAGCGGTGTTCATAGGAAAGGATTCAGGACTTTACAAAAGGACTTAAAATGCGGTTATATTTTTTACGCCGTTACGTATCGGACACAGCTATGATTTAGGTAAAATGTATTGTTAGATATATTTCAATACGATTGTTCATACAGAGGGGAGGATTTTATTTACTTTTACAGGATAAAATATTCATGTTCAATCTTGTTCTCTATTATTTCTTTTAGTGTGGTACTTTGTATACAAACACTTTTTTATTTAACACAATCGTTGCCGGTAAGGAACAGAATGTACGAAGTGCTGCCGGCTGCGGTACTTGTAGATGTAAAGTGTATTATTTATTTATATATCAGTAGAAGTTTTAAACTATGTCAATTAATCTTTGCTTCTACAAAAATGTATTTCTACTTATGCAAGCTGTGCCACCATCGCTTGAATGTACAAACCGTTTCAACAAGGTACCTTATTATATTTGTAATATTTCCAGTAATGCTGATCTATATTCTTAATTTAATGAATTTATAGGAGATGTTTGATAAACCTAATCCTTCAGGATTTATTCATATGTCTCATTATTTATTATCAATACACGACTCAAAGAGATTTAAAAAAGCTGTCACATGGCCAATTTTGAGCAAAGATGATGAGAAACAATATCGTTTGGGAGTGAAAAAATATTTAGATATTATAGCTGCTGAAAATCCAGATATAAAGTTCCCACCGATATTAATGTTTCATATAATCCGGGCAGGAAGCAAAAAGTTCTTAACTATTATGTGGAAACTGTCACAAATTAGTCTCAGAGCTTATATTATGAGACATTGTAAATACTTCTGATGAAAATTAATATTTACTCCATCATTTGTTCATGTAATTATAAGATTGATTTTTTTATAGACAATGGTAAATTATTACTAGCTCCTGAATCAGGTGACACTAGTAACATAACTAGAATATATATCACTAATATCAATTTTAAAAGAGACCTTGATATTTCTAAGCACTCTGAGGAAACAAAATTGGATATAGAAAGCTTTGAATACTATATGCAGTAAAGTTTAATTTGACTTTAGATATTTTATTATTTTATTGATCATTTTGTAAAAAATTCTGTCGTTTTTTAGATGTAAATTCACAGACTTGAAAAACCTGCAAGCTGATATATTCAGTACAATAGAAAATATTAAAAAATGTGCACAGGTGGCTCCAGTTAATAAAGTTATTTTAAAACGATTAGTGGATCCCAAGGATATAGAAATTATAAACAGTATGTATTTACTGTAATTTATTTGAAAAGAATAATAATTATTGATCTACAAATATTAAAATTTTTAGTGTGGAAGACAAATATTCATGCAAACATAGAGCATCTTAATTATATGAATTCAAATTTAAATAGATCAAAAACTCTGAGTAGAAAATTAATCAATATATTTTCAAGTTTACACACTGATGCTATAGTTTGTGATGCTAATAATTTTTCGAAGATAAATACTGAGGTAATACAATAAGTCATTAATAGCAATATAAAGAAAAATAATATGGAATGTATGTAACCAGCAATCTATACTTTATTTAAAGGACATTGACAATGGATTGTATATAAATGGCTGCTTGGTAATTTATTCTTTAATATTAAAGCTTGATGAAATATTAAAAGAAATAGAATGCCATCTAAAACTAAGTAACTTATCTAATTTGTCAAATTGTGAAATAACAATTAATGAATACAATAAAATAATGAGGTCCATGGAAGAAACATTTCAGAAATTCATATTGGAAATCACTAGCAGTACATCTACATTGCAAAATAGCTTACAAGAGAGATCAGCAAATTTCAGTGTAGAGAAAGATTCTTTTTATTTTTTATGTCGGAAAGTACTGTTTCCATCTCCACAGTTTCAGTTTCATTTTGATGAAAGCATAATTGAAAAAGACTTGATTAATGAATTATATGTATCTCCAAAGAAAGGTAATATTTATTTTTTAATAATATAAGCAAATATTCAGGTTCTTAATGTCATAAACATTTTTAGGAAAATATAAATACTTATTTAAGAGGTACCAAAAAGATAAATTGGATTCACCTAAGAGCTCATCATTAAACTCTTCTTATACTAGTAATGTAGGAGTAAATACAACTAGTTGGTTGTCACCTAAAAGACATTTTTCAAGTTATGAGAAGACCCCACCAAAGATAAATAATAATAGAACAGTTTCTCCACGTTATTCTAAATTATTTACACCCCGTAAGTTAAACATACATTTTACAGGCTTGTGGAAGTATTTAAGAAAATGACTAACTTAACATAGAATGTGTAAAGAAGAATTTAACTTTAATATCTTTCTTAGGCAAGCGTGCTACGTCCAGTCCAATAAAGCAGCGCATAGAGAACAGTCCAAAATCTACTAATCATAACATAAATTTACAGCCTGTGAATTTAGAGGTTGCAATGCAGAATATCTATGATCTTTCAACACAAATTGCTAAAATTGCAGCTTCTATACCCAAGTCTTGAAGGAAAACATTGATACAGTTTGTTTAGAAGGTACACTGTTTAGAATGATTGAGAAGTAAATAGATTTGTGAGTAATATATATGCGTATAATAAGTTAATAAAGAGTTACATATTTTCTATAAAAATAACTGTATCTCTTACATGTTTCTCAATAAATGATAATTCCAATTTGCGGGGGCATAACGATCACGGTCATTAAAAACATACATGTGATACAGCGTATACGTAGGAATACAATTCACATCTGTTGCATCACATAGGAAATGCATATCAATATGTTTTCGTGTACTTTCTTTGTCAAGAAGATTCGGGTAACCTTGATCCAAATTATGCACTTGTTATGCTATCGTCGGTCGCAACAAGGAGAAATAACCAATCGATGTGCATGATTGACGAGACGAAAGGGCGAGAGAAAAACGCGATTGGCGAGGAGTTTAATTATCGGTTAATGTGTAGCCACTTGCATCAAGCGGTGTGATCACAGCTCCGCTTTAAATGCAGCTGCACTGTGTTTACAGTAGCATTTGTCGTTGTTGTTTGTAAATTTTAGCGGTAAACCTCAATTATACAGTGAAAGATAAAGTATTTATACACTGTTGATTTTTACGAATTCTCTGAGTAAAAATTATTTACGTCAGTCTTTCGTGCGAAATTTTATTTCTAGGGAAATCTAGACTGATGTAAATAATTTTTAACTTAATCTATATAATACGAAATTATAAGTCATTCCATATGAGTAACAGCGGTGTATAATATTTTTTCCTCCTACTACAAGTAGCGTTTTGTATGAAAACCTTTCAGATTTTAGGTTATGATCTGTTTATGCCTAGTTTCATTTATGAAAGATTACTGTTGAATTTTATGAGGGAACGGGTTCGTTTGAAAGGAAATTATCACCGATATAATGTTAACCTGCGTGGTACACGGTTGTCTTTCAAATCAGGATACCAAAATCGATGGAAACGATATTTCATTGTTCCCTTTCCCTGACGATGTTCCGTGAGTATTTATTATTTTTTCTGTATAAACTTTTCCTGGTATGATACAGACGTTTGTTGGTATTTTAGTCAAAGAAACCTATGGTTGAAAAATTGTCAATTAGATAATATTGCAGAAACAGATAAGCCACTCTATATCTGCAAATTACATTTTGAGAAAATGAGCTTCACAGATTCTATGCAGCTGAAATCTGATGCTGTTCCAACTATTTTTGATAAAGCAGAAGGTAAGTAGAACAATAGCAAATACATTGTACCAATTGTCAAATGCTAATTCAAATTATTGTTATAGAGGGACAAAGAAAACATAAGTTAGACGATGCACTTGAAACTGATCCACCCAAATCTCCACCAGTAAAGCAGAAAAAATTAGAAGATGATTCGCATAGTCTAGTAACTCCACCGCAAAGTCCTTGTACTCAACTAATAAGAAATGTAAGTAATTTGATTTATATTTTAAGAATCACAGCATTTTGTTGTGTAACAGTATCATCTTATCAAGTTGTATACGATTAATTGATGAAATATGATATTACAGGTGAAAGAAATGAATGGAGAAGATAAAATGGATATACCTATTGAAAATGAAATTCCATTGAACGGATCTACCCCTTTAAAGTCTGAATTATATCAAACAGTAAAAATAGGAAAGAAGCAATATCGACTAACAATACAAATTGACAAAATATATGGTAAACCATGTCCTAGGTCAAGGAAGCTTATGATACTAGCACAATTAAAGAAGGAAACGCAAAAGCTTTCTAGAAATACGACTGATATAGATCAAAAGGATCAGTTTTTGCATAAGAGTACTAGAAAAGCAGACTGTGCAAAGGGTGGTTGTAAATTAAAAAAATCTATTTATGATTCCAAGCCAGCTTTTCAGTGCGAACACTGTGATAAATATTATGTAATGAAGAAGTCCGATAATCAGGGAGAAAAGAACACTTGTACCATATGTAACAAGACTTTCCTATCATTGCAGTCCTTGAACAATCATACCAAGACTCATTTTATATGTGATATGTGCCAAACAGAATGTAGTTCACAAGTAATTTACGATACGCATATGAAGTTACACGTTAGTTCGGATCCGGTGAACCCGTACAAATGTCATCAGTGCACAGAGATCTTTGAACTAGAAGACGACGTGAGGCAGCACTGTTTAATTGTCCATCCCACAATTAAATTACAGAACACAATTTTGCAAGTGACCGCATCACCTCTAACGCAATTACCTCAACAGCAAGATCACCGTTGCGTCAGTTGCAACATAACGTTTAGGAACGAGCAAGCTTATAGGTAGCTTTCATTGCCATACGAATATGGTGTAGAGTTTCTTGTCGCCGTACAGATTGTAATTGGTAAATATTTTTACAGGAACCACATAAGTTCTCATAAAAAGAAAGAAGGTATAAGGTGCAGTATTACTGACACCAATAACGTATTTCCAGTACCTAATCCTTTAACTGGTAGTCAAATAGGTATCCTTCGAGCTGTAAAGTTCAGTTGTAGGGTATGCTCTATGGAATTCGATAACGTCGGCGAGGTCGACAGGCACACGAGGACGCATTTAGAGGAAGACAACGAAGAGGAGAGGAAGTGCAATACATGCAAGAAGCAATTCAAAACGAACGCGCAGCTCAACGAACATTTAAAGACCCACGAATCGCGTACGCACCCTTGTCCCGTATGTTCGAAAACGTTTATCAACAGAACTACATTGAAGATACACTTAAAAAGTCACGGTGAAACGTAGGTCTCAGTGATCGGTATCGAACGATTCTCACGTCCAGCTTAATTTCGACTCGTTCCGAAATTCAGTGCTTCGTCGCGTAAATCTTTTTAATTTATCGACGGAGGTGTATCCAAGGTGCCAACAGCCTGCAGCCTTGCGCGGCCCGCGCAAAGTTGTTCGTTAGCTACTTGGTCCTCGCAGCCAACGACGAGTGATGGGAACCTTATGTAACGTTTCAGAAGAACGATTAAATTCTTGAATAACAATTCCCATTGTATTCTTTCTCCACCAAATTCTGCACAAAACATTGCGTATGCGTTTCAACCGTTAACGATCAATTTTCCATTAGGTACCACGAGAAGTAACGTTTAGAAGCAAACGAGTCCAAGCTGCGAGAACAGATCATGAAGATCAAACGACTCCACCCCCAACAAAGAATCTCATGAAATCCAGACGAAGTCGTCGAAAACTACATTTCAACAAGTGTCCTGCTCGATGCAGCGAAGTCTCACTGCAACGATCCACCGAAGAATGAAGATAATAGGGTGCGGGCTCCTTTGAGGTGCGCCAGCTCCTTTGCTCAGTAGAATGATCCTGATTTTCCCGACAGGAGTCATTGGCAGGGCGCAGTGGCGGGGCAATGGAGGGGAGGCGGAAACGAGGGCAAACGACCCTCTGTGAAAGGGAGAGCAGGCAGCTAGCGGCGGGGAACAATCGGCGGTCGTCCTGTCAACGGGGACCACTTCAAACGTAGCCGACCTCAATGTGTTTATTTGGCCAACGTCAAATTTACTCGTGGCAAAGGAAAGCTCCGCTAGCGCGTATTCTGTCGCAGTCGCCAACGCACACCTTGCCGGCCGCTTGTTTTCGCCGGTGCCGGGAAAATCGGATCGTTTTGTCGCGCTCGATCGTCGGCCGCCTTGGGCGTGGCTCGTGTCCTCTATTGTCGACCCGATGACTCTTCGCGGCTCGAGTCAAGTATCTTGTAATTCTTGGTAGCTCGCCTCCTCGAGGAAATCGCGTTTGTCGCGCGAAACTCGGGGAGGTACAGTTCTCTGGGGTAGAAGAGGCGAATCTGCGAGGGAAGGTCGAGGGTGGTTTTGATGAAGACGCTTGGTAACTGCGTCGTTTGGGGGTTGTATAGTTTATGGGGTTATATAGAAATTTCTCTAATTCCAAGTAAGATGGCTCTAGATCGTTAACACTAGGTTTACGGGCATTTATTGTACACTTGATTCTATCATTCCTAAAAGAATTGATGCTCGTTTATTTAGACTGTGGAAACTGGAGATTTGACGCGTCCTGTAAACCTAGTGTTAATAATAATTGTTAGTTGTAACAATAGCATCTGCTGGATTCACTCTACTCTTCGTACTCCTTGTAATCCTTGTAATCCAATTTTACTTGCAGTGAAACGGAGAGCCCTTCGACCCCTAAGAAACCGATCCCGACAACCAACAAACATGGCCGCCCGACGTCCCTCCGCAAGTGCGAAAGGAATAAGATTAAAATGTGATTCCCCGTCGGTCACGGGGCATCGCGCGATTCGCTGCGCGTCAGCCCACCAGTTTCCCTTAATTTCCACAGCACCCTCGGTCAGAGGTACAACAGCGAAACGCACACTGGCTCGGCCGCTTAGCTACCGTGGAAAACCGTGGCGAATTTATAGAGTGACTCGCTTTATCTCCTTAATACCTGGCCGACTGTTGTCCCGCGTTTCTGCGCTGATGCGCCGTTACTAAATACACGGGAACGCGTATTTCGTCACTCGACAAGGATGCCTGACACGTGAACGAATGGGGATAGTCTCTTGATGCGTCTTAGGGAATGATCTTCGGAGCATATCGCTGGAAACGAGAACTTCGAGTAACAAGGAAGCATCTTTATACTTAACTCTTTGCACACGAATGTTTCTCCTTTGCATATGTTCATTAATTTATGAATTTTATCATTTTTCTGTATCAAAGTGAACGACTTTAAGGAGCGCTGATACAAATCTTCACAGGTCGATGTAAATTCTTTGAGTTTTACGAATATTGTGGGCTATTAATCGACTGCAGAGCTGAGTTTCTTTTAGACCAATCGAAGATCTATCGGCAATTTCACACCACTTTCGCGGATATCGCGAAAATCAATTTACCGGCTGTCCGCGGGAATGTCCGGACAGTTTCGTTTTGTCGCGTAGGCGTCCGAGCGTGACGACGGTGCCATCGAAACGTCTCCGGCGTGAAAAGGGACATCCCGCGGTCGAATTTGCATGGCGCACTTGGCCGAGCGTCCCGGTGAAGGGTTGCGAGGACATGCTAATTCACGGTGACCGGGATTCGCAGTCGGGAAGCTGTTTCACGGGTTGTAGAGGACATCAAAGCGCCGACAAAGCTCGCAGCTGCGTTCCACGCTCATGCTTGCATCGTTTGTGAAAAGCAGTGCTCTTTTCGACGGTGGTTGCATATTTGCCGTCTTTCAGCCACGAATATAAATCATTATCACTTAACCCTTTGAACTCTGTAGGCTCCAATATTGCACCAGTTATAATATTAAATATTTTAATGAATCTTAAAGAAACTACCCTAAAATTATTCGATTTTCCGCACAAGGAAAATAAAAGATCGAAGAAATGTTATAGCATTTCTAATTTTCAGTAGGACTACTATCAAAATTGGTAGGAGTTAATTATGGTATCGAAGTGAAACTATTTTTTAAACCATTTCAGATATCCAATGATTTTAAGGTACCAATAATCACGAAGTACGGAGTGCTAATAAGAATCATATTGTCGAGTAAAGTTGGAAGTAAGGAGGAAAATGGCGTGTCTATGGGGTTGAAACGCAGTGATGTAAGAGTACCGTTGAATTTCGAATGTCGAACGTCTGCCGGTTAACTAAATTCTACTTTCAGAGAACGGCGCTGGAAGTCACGGACATTTGCTGGAGAAAAGGGGCCCGTGTCCGAAGAAAGCCATTGTGGAACCGCGGAACGTCGGACGAACCGGGCAAAGACGTCGCGGCGTCGTTACCCTGCGGAACGGGAAAGAGAAAAGCCGAAGGAGAGGAGGAGAATGGAAGGAGAGCCGGGTGAACGCGCCTCTCTTCCCGCTTGCGGGCACGGGCCATCTGGCGGAACGATCTTTTATAGGATCTATCTATCCCGGTGTCCTCTCTTCAATGAAGGAGTCACTCGCGTGGAAGTTACCGGCCCTTTTGATTAATGGCCGGCCAGATAAACCGCCTCGGTCGCTCGATAACCTTGATCGAGGAAGAATCGGTGAGAATCAAAATTCAGCGACTTCCTACGACTGGAATCCTATGTTTCCTCCTCATGAATATTAGAATCATTCGCGAATGGCATTGATCCTTTGCACTCGAATTTTCACTGGAAATATTCAACGTTTGATCTAATGAGAAACATTAAGAAACAATTCTTATTTTAACGTCCCTGGTACCGATGCATGAAGCTTAATGTTACAAATCAAACTTCCCATCGAAGCAACAAAGCATCCGAGTGCAAAGGGTTAATCATCGGTTCGCCGAGGATCGTCGTATTCCCGCCGTCCCTCGGGATCGGTCGCGCGTGCGTTTCCGTCGACGGAAGATGACAACTTGTCGCGGTTGCGAGGGGCGACGAGAAGAAAGGGGAGAAGAGTCGATGTCGCGCATGGGACAGAGAGAAAGAGAGAGGAGGAAAAAATAGCATAAATCATTGGCGGGTACCGGACCGATGAATCCCGTTGCGTTCATCCACGTGGAAGGGGCATAATCAAATTTCGGGGCCGCCATGCGAGGGGCGGCGACTCTGCGGTCGTGCACACGTTTCCTGGCTTTTCTGCTTAGAGGGAGGGTGGGACTCGGTCGAGGGCTATTATGGGGCTTGCCACGGCTTTACCCCTCGAAACTGCACCGTGCCTGCCGCCGAGGGGGTTTCTCCACGGTTGCCCGACCGTGTACCGAGCCGAGGATTGCATCCGACTCGTGATGCCTCGCCTCGCGTCACGACGCTCGCGTGTGAAACTTGCGGGTTCTTTTGCAAACTGCGGCAATGCGTTTTGTTTTTATCGTAGTTACTGTTTCTTAGTTTGTTATTCATCATTTTTATGAATGAAGCGTGCGTATGATCGATCACGCGATCCGCAGTGGTTAGAAATTAACTTCGCCATTGTCCAGCGATCGCGTGATCCTTCAATGTTAATCGCCCACGTGCTCCGCCGATAGTTTTTTGTGGAATCGGGTAAAATCGCGTCGGAACGCATCGTCGATCCGTCATTCGACGCTGACAGAAGTACAAGAAGATCTGACGAGGCGCGCAACCTCGCTCAGTCTTTTTTTTTTAATAGGATGTCGGTGAATCGATGATCCGTACAGAATATAATTATACTAATACAATTATAATATAGAAAGAATATAATTCGTATCACTCTTTGTGAAATATTAACAGCTGCTGACTTGAGATACGATAACATATTAGATAAGGTAACAAATGTAATTTCAATATAGCAATTGTTAAACGATTGACCGTCCCTGATTGTCTACTGCCTTTTCAAAGTTTTCCTACAGGTTTGTCCATTCTGTTGTGTTTACTATTCAAAACTCGACCGCCATTTCAGTTCTCGAACAGTTTTTGCGAATCTTATTCAACCATTCTCGCGTCGGCCGATGTTCGCAACGAACGCAAACCGAAACGGACAAATTTCTAGGCGAAATGCGGACATAGGTCGCTGGAACTCGTTGTTATGACGTCTGGGTTGAAAAGTAAGATGGATCGGCCGATCCATCAAGACTCGCGACAAAACGCTCGCGTTTCCTGCTCCTTCAGTCGACTTCCTGCGGCTCTTTGACCGAATTTTAAGAGAAACTGGCTAATCCTTCTCGAGATTTCACGCGAATGTCGCTCGGAACCTTTTGTATAGCGGGTGTAAGAAGAATCGCTGCGGTTTTCCGAGTTTCTTCGGATCTAATGAAAACAAACGTGACAAAGGACGCAGGATAAACTCAACTGTTCAGTTTCAACTTAGTCTCTGTAGAACGCTGTGCTGCAATCGATTTGCAATGGTGAACGATTGAACTTTCGTACAGTTCGAATGTTAGAATGAATTTCGCTTCATTGAGTTAAGCTCGATTGAACTAAACTTCTAAACTTGTAATTTTTAAGTTCTAATTTCTTCCATTTCCATGACGGATCCGTTGCATTACAGAAACTGCTCGAAAGTAGCGTTCGAAAGTACAAGTCAAATAAGAAAAAGGTTGCCGGAGTCTCCTCGTTCGCAAATATTTATCCCGCCATGGGCAAGGTCTTGTTCAAACTGCCTTCTCAAATATTCCGTACAGGTTTGTCAATGTATATAATCTCGTAGAAACTACGGTTACAAATGACAACTTGACAACGCAGTCTCACCTTTTAAATCGCCTTTATGCTACAAGATTCAGCGTTGCAATTCTTCAACATGCTACTATTCCAATATTTCAGAATTCGAATTTCCCAGCGTTCCCAACAGTAAACCCTGTCCCCACAACGAAACTCAAAAACAAAACCTATCACGTCACATTCAAGGGAGCCATCCAACGTCATCGCAAGAAATTCGACCAATAATCCCAAATCCGCGATTCCCCGTTCTCTCGTTGCGTTTTGGCACTCGTAACCGGCGCGATCGCGCGCGAGAAGGTGCATAGTCGGGTGAACGTCGTCGGAACGGTGTGATCGTCGGAGAAGTGAACGACGGGCACCGGGACACGAAGAGAAAGGGAGAAGCAAAGAGACAGAAGAAGAGCAGCATGAATGGTCCCGAGCTGGTTTTGTGCGAGGATCGTTTTGACAGAAGGGCGCGCCGCTTTTAAGGGCCAGCGAGAGAAGGATCTCCGGGGGATGAAGCGGAATAGGCGGCGACGCGGCAGAGGGTGGCCTTCGAACTTCGAGTGTTACAATAAATCAACGAGAACGCGATTCCGCGCGGCTCCACCCTCGCAACCCCGGAATACCCCATAGAAGAGGCACCCGTTGGACCGTCGACCGTCCGTCTCATTGTGTTTAAAGTGGTCCCCGCTCGTATCATGCGCGTAAACAATTTATTGTCTCTCGCTTCCGTCGCGTTCGTTGCTCGGCCGATCCGGTAACTCTCGAAGCCGGTTTCCACTGAATTTCGAGTTTCTTCCCTTTGTTTTCTATGTCGTCTGGCCAGTTTACAAGATACTTAACAACGTCGCATCAAACGAAGAGGAAACAAATGGCTCTGTTCGAACTGAGCTCTGTATTAACCCACTCCAGGTTGTTTTGTAATCTATCGGCAACTGCAACTGATTTTTATAGTATTCCTAGCGAAAATTAGAAATGCTGTAACATTTCCTCGATCTTTTATTTTCTTTCTTAGTACAGAATTCGGATGTGGGGAAAATCGAATAATTTTAGGGTAGTTTAAGATTCATTAAAATATTTAATATTATAACTGGTGCAATATTGGAGCCTACAGAGTTCAAAGGGTTAATTGACTATGCGCCATGCGTATTCCTGCGGCTTCGCCAGTGCAACCGATTACTAGAACGATCTATTTGTGACGAACAAGGCATTCCTGTTATTCTATCGGTTTGGTACAGTTAACGTAAATAATACTCGAATGGCAGTCACCATAGGCTGCCGAGTACCGATTGCAATGGCGGTTCGGAACTAGCTTCAGTTCCATGATATTCAGTATCCAACTAGAATATATCGACGAGTACACGCTCCATTTTTCGATTTTATTCGCAGAACCAGAGGTTTCTCCAACCAAATTCCACAATTAACCGTTAAGATCCGCCGCGCAACCAAAACCGATAAAGAGGAGCATGACTCTTGCAGGGGTTGCATCGCCGATCCCGGTTTCCCCTCGGTCCCTTCGCCCCTCCGCCAGTTATCCAGGACCTTTGGCTAGCCCGTGGCAAAAGGGCGAGGCAGCCCGACCGATTAATTCCGGACAAAGGGGCTGCGTATCGCGCGTCGAGCCCTCGAAGGCCTTCCTAAAACCCACCTCCGGCCTTTGCCGCGAAGGGCGACCCCGTCCTCCATTGCCGATCCCTCGAGCTACCTACGGCTCGCTCGACCCAATCCTGTGTAGAGGGTGGGAACCATCGCTGGTATAAAACCGGTGGTGTCCTTGCCCTGCGGACAGTCTTGTCGGTAGCTTGCATCACTCCTCAGTCAACCTTAGTGCGTCGAGTTCGAGGAGGTCGAGGCCTGCAGGTCGCAGACCATGTGTGACCCCAAAGCGACCCTGTTCTTCAGACCCTGGGACGTGGAGGCCTGCGACGAAGCAGCTACGAAGCTCAGTGCCGATGGACCGAGTGCTCTAGATAAAGAGGATTGGGAGACTGCAGGAGTTTCGTTGGAAAAGACGCGGGCAAAGTGTGCGAACGAGGCAGCACGCGAAGAGTTGGACGTCTCCGGAAGGCTGCGACGGAAGAGCGAGTCGTCGGAAGCTTCCAGCCCCGTGTCCTCGGCCGGAGAAGACGCGTCTCCGCGAGCTAGTCTGGATCTGCGTTGCGTCAGTCACGTGTATCCATGGAATATCCGGTCTTCTTCGGTTGTCTCTGGCGAGGTGTCCTCGGAACCGTCGTCTTCGGTCAACTGTTGGCCAGCCGCGTCCTCCACGCTGCCAATCGACAGTCTTCGACAGTTGTATCACCATCAGGATGCTTATGCCGCGTTGACCGACAGTCAAACGGCGATGCGCGATATCGGGCTGGCCGCCATTCAGACGTCCAGCATCGCGACCACCGGCCAACGCTTCTGCTACGATTATGCCGCGGTTCATCTCGCGCCGGGACTCTGCTCGGCTTCTATGGAGCACGTCGTGCAGATGCTCGAGAACCACGAAGCGGCGGCTAAGCATCTCAAGAAGCATCGGCCGAAGAACTTCCGCTGCGAACACTGCGACGTCGCGTTTAGCAACAAGGGACAGCTGAAGGGACACATCAGGATTCATACCGGTGAGTTTCTGTAGCTTTAAAGCTTTCCTCGCAGTTTATGTAATGTTTTTTAACACTAGAACTACCCAGCATTTAATACGATCAATATGTAATCCGTATAAAGATTGTCATTCTGACTGGTACGGTAGTTCTAGTGTTAATTGGGCGGCGTTAATTGAAGTTGGGGTGTTGGGATATTCGGGTAACGAGGCGTTGGAATTCTTTTGAGTTTTCTGTGGTACCGCGGTGTTAGGATTTTCCAGCGTTTCAAGGGTTGATTCTTCGATATTGTAATTTTGCAGTGTTTTGCCTCTCAATACTATAATCTCCCAATACCCCAGTTCCTCGATATTGCGAAAATTGAACATCGAAAAGGCGAGAAATGTAAACGAAGCGTTGCTTTCGCAAATTCCAGGCGAGAGACCGTTCAAGTGCGACGCAGCCGGTTGCGGCAAGTCGTTCACCAGGAACGAGGAATTGACCAGACACAAGAGGATCCACACAGGACTGCGTCCGCACGTTTGCCTAATCTGCGGGAAACGCTTCGGCAGGAAGGACCATTTGAAGAAACACGCGCGGACGCACGCGAATCGCGACCCGTACCGCGTGTCCGCGGCGGCTTTCAACGCGTTCGCGTTGGGACATCCGTTCCCGCCGTACGTCTACCCCATGTGATGACTCCGCGACTACCCCTGTACCATAGAAATCTATACATATATATATAAATGATATCATTCATGTGTACATACATGTATTTTTGTACATTTTATAGGGACCTGATCAATTCTATTTACACGACTATGCACTTTTGTGTACATTGTTTATTTATTGTGCCTGTGTATACGAGGATGCTGCGAGAACGTTGCCTTGATAGTGGTTCTACGTTTTATGTAGGATCGTCAGAGTATTTTCTAAAGAGAAATGTATTTTTGATAGCACTCAATTTTCATGATATACTATGAACGAGAGATAACCGGTGACTTAGTCGAGTGATACGTCCGATCCATTGTAAAATATACTCGAGATGCGTTTTGTACAAATACTGTGCGAGGATTATAATATAACGATGAATAAATTGTTATCTCTTTGAACGATACTCCTTATTTTCATTTCAAACCAACTCCGATAGTTTTCTACTATGGACTGTCTATCGATATTCGAGTGAATAATAATTTAATCTTTTGTACTCCGTAGGCTTCTCAGTCGCCAATTGATTTACAGCAAAATTATAGATTTTGACATTCAATATCAAACTTCTGGAGTGCAAAGGGTTAACATTACACTTTGATTTATTCGAGAACACTTGAAATCTCATCATCGACTATTCTGGAACAAAAATATTCTTCAGCAGTTCCAGTATTTTCAAATAATAAACACTTCTACTTCGTTATTAGAAAAATATTCCTCCTGGTCGGAGCGACTCCATTTTCCCGACAATTAAATCCAAGATGGCGCCGCGACTCCAGATGAATAGGGAATCCCCTTCGAAGGGGGATGATTCGTTGGGACGAGGGGTTGCGCCCTTTCGCGCTGCGGAAGGGACGCTTACAGCGCGTGCAAGCCTATCCCGGCCCTTATTCCACGTTTTTTTCGCGCTTTCGATCGCAATACGTTCCTGCGGTCGCATACATAAATGTTTCGGTCGATCTGGGGGTTGGCGAGGAAACCTCGAGGGGTGGTGGCCAGATTGAAGAGAAAAAAACCTCGGATTCAATTAGCTGCCAGCAGGACTGATTTTTAAATTAGATCGAGAATTAATTCAATCTGCCGACGTTTTCAAATTTACTGCTGGTTTAATAGTATCTTATTTAATTCACTTTGAATCATTTCAGTTTGCTTCTTGAATAGCTTGGGAAGTTCGAAATGTTCGCTTCTATATTGATGACTGTTGAATATTTATTTGTAGAAATAAACACAGTTTGAGAAGCTAAGTGTATATTTATTAAAGCATGTAGTACGGTGCTTAAGAACTGAGAAACGGAACGTTGTTCAACGGTTGAGCGTTTGCTACGAACTGTACTCAACAATGACGAGTTCGCGAAAAATTTCAATTACCTAGGATCTAAAATCTACGGTTCAATGATCAGTCAGCAATGAGCTCCGAGTTTAATTTGAGAACTGTTTAGATAGGAAGGGACGGTCTCACAGACAATGTTTTCAATATTCTAATAGTGGAATATAATAACATCTTAATGGCAGTACTGCAATATCGTAATCCAACAATGCGCTAATGCTCCAATATCTCAATATCCTAATGTCTTAATATCCCAGCGCTTTATAGAGACTAATAAAGCATATTCCATAGGGTCAAACAGTTCCATTGGCCGACCTTGAAGCCTCCTAAAACCTACGACTCACGATAATTACTTAATCCACCAGGTAGAAAGAACTCTGACGCACCGTACAAATGTTTTCTTCGCAGGTCCTTCTACACTAGTTCACCAGCATTCGCGGACGGGGAAACCCCGACGGCTTAAGCGTTAAACAGGATTCTCACACTTGGACACGCGGATTTTCAGTGCGACGGTAGAAGGCTACCCCGCTGGGACATTCGTTCGAGCTCGTTGACGCCCCCCTACCGATCCACAGATATATGACAGCGTATCCCTATCTTTCGACTGAAACTCCCATGCAATGGACGATTGCGTACAACTTCACATGTAAGTATAAAAGTTAGTGCTGTAACGTGAATTTCTAAGGTGTACTGGAACCATCGAAACACTGAATTGAACTGAATTAAACCAATCGAGAGTAATCACGTTTATATAGAAGATGCGACTGTTTAACCCCTTGGTGTTCTATTTACTTTCGTTACTAAACTCGTGTAATATTTTACTATCGACAATTTGTAAGAGATACAACAAAATTTTCCATTCTACTTCAGGTGGAAATTTCATTTGAAGATGATACATTGATAATAGCAAAATAGTTCGCTTTGATCCGTGGGCAGTGGACAACATTGATTCCTGTTAAATTAGTTTAGAAATCTTCATCACGAGTCTCACATTGTACGGCAAGGGGTTAATTAGAATTCACTTCAGATCTAAGCTTCCTGCTGCAATTATTGTATAACACTTTACGGCCAAACAATTTTTGAAACCCAAAAAACCAATTTTTAAAGCGCCTTTAAGCGCCAACAGTAACTAAGGGATTAATTATTTATTTTGGATAAATGTGATTCTTAGGAAGATTTCTTGCAAGGAAAATTAAGGAGTTTTGAGATTCTTTGTAAGCCGCTTAAAAGATTTCATTGGATAGTTGTAATTTAACTAATGCACTGTACCCCGATTGAGATTTAATTTGTATAAAAACAGGCTCTCTGAAATTCAGGGAATATAGTCTCTCGTATACGCAGTTCCAACTCTATTGGCCCGTGATTGAACGATCGCTTAAACATGGTTGGGATTACAAGGATCCTCGGCCTCCTTAATCTCGGATTATACCGGTGACCGGGACCATTTGACGCACTAATGCCCGGATTAGAGGAGGCGTACGGCAACCCCTGCCGTTTACTTCATCCCTACCGCAAAACAAACGGGTTGCGAAGCTGCGCTTGATTTATAGCTTCCTGTAATTTACAATTACAGTTGTACTTCGATACCGAGGAAGTTTAATCCTTAAAGAAAGAAATTCGCAGAAGTGAAGCACAGTATTTAACTAAATTGTAAATTACAAGAACATTGATGAAAGTAAGCTGATTTTTGCCACATACGCTAGAACACTGGTTTCTTTTGTTTTGTTTCGCCATTGTTGGTATCTCAAAAGCATTGAATATCTGAAATGATCTTGAAAATAAATAGCTTCATTTGAATACTGTAATGAATGTCTGAAGAAACTGAAACTAATCTATTGTTACAATTTTTATGGGAATTGCATGTTAATCGTATTAAATGCTCGGTAGTTCTAGTGTTAAGGGTTAATATTCATGTCATATGTATCGATAACATGTTTTCACTAATATAGTTCCATGTTTCGAATAGAATGTAGAAGCATAGAATAACGTCTCGTCGAGGGTGCTGTAAAATCCGATTCGAGCAACGTAATTCTGCTGCAGTTAGATAACAAATAGTTTTCAGGTGACAGAGCCAAGGGATTTCACGTGGCTGTTACTCGACAACATCGGGAACATTTCCCAAAAGAACGTATTCTAGTTCCGACGCCCCGCGGATGTTCCTACGACTTGTGACTATTAAAAGGAACGCGAGAACTCGGGGTGAACAGGAAGAACACCCGTCGGGAGGACACCGTTGCTATATTTCGTATGATGCAAAGCTTCACGACTCGATTCTCGCATAGGATCCTTCGATTTTACCATTGCTGACACGTTCACTTCCATCTACGAGATAACTCGCAGAAGAATAATATAATATAATCGATTTATCAGTACGTTCGCAAAAGCTGCGAGTATGCACGTCGCTTCAGTGGCGTCTTGCGTCGATCAACAGTCATTTCCAGTTATTCTGCTTGATTCCAGATTTTTCTGGGGTTTCGATCTACCGAGAGACGAGGAAGCGAATGATTTCTTTAATAAACGTTTCGAATATTCGACAAACAACCGAAATTTCTCTATACTCCAGCAACTGCATTCTGACCTGCAGCCCACGGGTGCAACCCCTCGCCGGGTGGTCCTGTATATCGCGTCATTGTTGCATCTCCGGCACTCGATCCCCGTTTAAAAACCGTTTAGCCCCTAATAGCCGTCTCTCGACGCATCTAGCTGGCCCCGTAACGATTCAGGTGGCCGTCGACGATCGACGGGACGCTCGGCACACCCGGGGCGCGTTGACTTCCTGATATATGGATCAACCGTGATCGCGTCCGTCGGACTGCGCCCCCGGCTGTTTCGAAAATCGGGACGTTTTCGATTCCGGCAGCTTTCAATGGGCCTGCGCTCGATGTTCCTCGCGAGATCGGGGGCTAAATATTTTGTAAACGGGGAAGAGAGGCTCCGGGGCTGCGAAAAGGCGCTGGCTTGCTGTGCGACGTGGATTTCGTCAATGGCGCGAGGCTGCCTTCGGAAATCATTCGACTTGGCACCTATGGTGTCTTGGGCTTAAACGCTTGTAGAGACTTCTTGCCTTTGGAATATTTATGTTTTTGTCGGAGAATTGTAGGAACTAGTTTTCTTTCGTACTTGCACACTGGAACTACCGTACCAGTAAAATGACTGGTTTCGAGTTTTAGCAATTATTGATATCTTCGAAGCATTGAATATTCGAAATGATTTTGAAAATAAATAGCTTCATTTCGGTACTATAATGAATGTCTCAAGAAACTGAAAATAATTTGTTGTTACAATTTTTATGGGAATTGCGTATTAATCGTATTAAGTGCTCGGTAGTTCTAGTGTTGAGAACTGCATGTTCGAACACTTCTACATCGGTTTGCGCTTGTAGTAATAAATTTGTTTCAACTCGTAACACATCAGAATAATCTAAGAATCGAGAACTACCGAGATTTTCCAAAAATGTCCACCCCAGAAAATCTGAGTTCCAATCCAAAGACGAACACGAAAGAATCATAGATCGCTCGATTCATTTATTACGGGAGCCACAATGGAATATCCAGCGACGCCCACGATCGCCCACCAAAAACCAGGAATTACACTGTTCCCCTATTTTCGGGGGTCGTCATTATAGGTGTCAACCCTGCCACGACATCTCTGAATCACGATCATCGACGTCACACGCTTCGCTGATATATCGTGCAGCATCTTCTCCTTCTATTCTCTTCCCCCGGTTTCCTTGCGCGTTTTCTCTTAATTCCTTGACGCGAAAAAATGGGGCCTCGATGGGCGGGTGGCCGATGGAACGGTGAATGGGCCCGAGACCCATTGAGTCGCGCACCTGACTCCCGACTTCTGGGTCGTGAGAATCCGGGAGATCTCTTTCTTCGGGTCGCCGTTCATTCAGCGGCGAAGAAAGGAGTCACGGAAGATTTTCCTCGCGTTTTTCTGGCCGCTTTTTACGAACTGTTGCGGAGGATAATGGTCACTTGGGTCATCTGTTTGCGCCGGATCTGGAAAGTATTCGGGGCCCTACGATTTTCTATATTCGAGTGGCATTTCAAGTAATTTCTTTCGTAACGTTGGTCTACCTCTGAGAATAATCATTGTTCGATAATTCATTATAGCTACTGAATTACTGAGATGTCGAACTGTCGATCTTTGTTCACTTAACCAACATTACATTATTACAGCTAGAATTCCTAATGCAACTAGAAATCAGACAAGCCATAGGACGCCATTTAATGGCACCGGTGGAATTATCCCCTTCGTTAGCGGCGATACTGCAAACGGAATGTGTTTATGCAATCGGTCGGTAGACCAGGATAACGGTCGGTCCTCGAGATCTGTTCACCCACGAAATAGATCAATGGCCGAGCGTTAAGGTGTCCACGCCCAGAAAGGGGCGCGTTCGACACCTGTCGCGCCGTTCAGCGGGGAGTTTAAGCCCCATCGATCCTTCGGGAGCTACCTGGTCCGAGGCAAATTGCTTGAATGCTGACGGGACCCCAGGAAACTTGATCTGTCCCGACCAGATAATTAACCCTGCCACCGGGAGTGGCTGTTGTCTTCATTCTTCAGGCTTTGGCATCTGGAAGCAGGAACGTTCACACTACTTGTACCCTGGAAAACATAGCATTTCGCTTAATCCGACAGTACATATCAAGGAAATAGGAAAATCATTTTCAATAGAGTTCAATATCCGTCAAATTGACGGGTTCCGTAAATCTACTGTTAATGACTTCTCGGACCTCGCTGCATCCAATTCAAAATGTACATGGAAAGAAGAAAGAAATATTCGGAGTTTCTTTGTTGACAATACTGTTTATTGATACTGGAGGATTATACAATGATTGAATATTGATTTATCCATGGAAAGTCAGCAGTGCACCGAATCCCTCTTCCTCTTTCCACAAGGCGGTCTGCCAGTGATCTCTTCGCTCCTCAATCTCTTCCTCTTCCTCTTGCTCCTTCTTTTCTTCCTCTTCTGTTCAATTCTACCGTCATCGACCTTCTCCTCTTTCGGTTCATCGCATTTCATCATTCTACACACTCGTCTCTCGTGCTCCAGCCTCATCTGTCTGGACCAAGGCCGCGGCGTTCGGAATTCTAGATCAATGTTCTGCCCGTTCTTCGACCTCTTCGATATTTTCAGCTTGAATATATTCGGATTGTCCTCGACAGGCCTCGACAGAGGCTCAGAATCCTTGCTTCCCTCATTATCGTTCGTTTGTTCGTTGTCATCCGTGCCGTCCTTCCTAGGGAACAACGTGAACGTGCGATTTTCGGACGTTTCTTCCGACTTTACGTCGTCCTCGCTGATCTTCGGTCGCGGATCTTCGACGCAGTCGCAGGGAGGATCGAACTCTTGCTTGGGAGGCTCCTTCTGGGTTCTTATCACCAGTTTATTGTCGTTGATGATGGCTTCTATCTCTTTGTAAGGCAGTCCTCTTTCAACTATCTCTGAGTGGATCTTGCTGGTTCTGGTGTGTTCCGCCGTTTTGGAGGGTTTCGTGGGGCAACAGCTGGGTTCTCGATACTTTGGACGGGAGAGAATGGATTTTAGTGATTTTGGAAGGTGACAGCGAACTTTTGGCAGCTCGATTGGCACTTTCTCGCCGAAAGTGCAGCAGGGTGAACATGGCGGAGCCTCCTTTTTCGGGGGACACCCGCATTGGCGGGTCGCGATGATCATTTCTCGATGGTGTTCTTGATTCTAGAAGAATTAAAAAATATTGCAAAGGTATTTTACTAATATCTTGTTTAATGTATGTATCAAAAAATTATTTACTTCCGATATCCGACACTTATTTTCAGGTTATCGAAGGTACCGTTCACTCGAGATAAGCAGGTTTCCTTTGTCAAAGCAAGCTGATCGACTTCAAGACTCAGTCATTCTAAGATTAATCATTCCTGAAGGGGAGGGAAGGGTTCTGGTTCGGCATATTGAAGTTTCCTTTTGTTCTCTTAGGTTACCAGAAAGGATGACATGGTGGATCGGTCTGAATACTCTCAGCAACCAACAAAATCGATTCGATTTTCCACCGATTAACCCCTCTTTCCTCGATAAAATGGACTTAAGAACAATCCTCTAAATTCCAAGTTCCATTCTCTCAATTTCCTTTATGTTAATAAACACCCTTCTCATCTGAATTTTTCCAAAATGTGTTCAAACGCGTACGAATGTCCAGCGATGCCAGTCGCGCCGTGCCCGCCAGCCTGCCCTCCCGCGAAGAAATCGAACGATCCCGAGTCAAAATACTACAGGGAAATAGGGACAGCTATGGCAGGCAATCAACTGATCATTCGAATGGAGAGGGAGAAAGGTAAATCGAAGAAATCCGGGGACTGGAGTCCTCCTTGCGACTGCGACGTGGTCGAGATCCAGAGACCCACGAGCAAAGAAGGGCCGAAGATACTGAAAGGTCCGGGGAACAATCGAATTCTCTTCAGGGTGCAATCGAAAACGCAAGTTGGGAAGAAGGAGGACCACGGACACAACCCTCAAGGGATTTATTATGAAGTAAGCTTCTTTGTTTATTCATTTCTCTATTTACTCTGTCACGCAAATGGCTATTATCCCCGCAATTGAGTAAATGGTCTTTTACTTACGCATTTCGATCGAAGTTGTTATACTGTGGAAATAATCGCTTTGAAAAATTAATGATTCCATTGTGTACTTAGTTAATTAATGAGAATTAATATTGCAGGAACGTTGTAGATGTCGATCAATTTTTTCCAGGTTGGCCAATGCAAAGAGGATCGCGACAAAGAAGACAGGTGCAGAACGTTCACTATTTACCCTGTTCTGGACTCTCCAGGATCACAGGAAGTGCATACGGATCGTATCACCGAAGGAAACGAGAGTGTATTTATGGTGAGAGTGAAAAAGAAACCGGGTGTCGTCGAAGAACCGAAGAAACACATCGAATTGGAACTTAGAACGCCGAAACCGCCTACTCAGGCCCCTGAAACGCTGCAACCGGTGGTGCAGCAGCGTGCCGCGAGGGCCGACAAGATGGCGGATGCGAGCAGAATTTCGATACAGGAAACAACAAAGAAAATTGCCCAGAAAAAGAAGAAGAAAAGATGATTTCTTGGAAAAAAGGAATTTTCATGCAACCAGACAATGTTTAATGAAGTGAATATTGAAAAAAAATGGTTTAAAACAAATTTCTTTTAAATAATCGTAGGTCCCGAGTTCTATGGAAACAGTAGGTACAGTAATAGGTCTAATTTCACAAGATTGTAATTTTTATTCGTTGTTGATGATTAATTAGTTTAAGTTTGAGGTAAAGTTGTGTATACAGGCATTCGAGGTTCGTTCTTCGGTTCGATGCTGAAATCATGCGCCGTTTTTCGCTCGGAATTGTGTCTGGCATTGAAATCTCTGATGGCCAGCTTCGTAGCGTTCAAGTCTGTAGTGTCATCGAGAATTTGGACAATTTTTTGGACTGTCGAGTACTCCATTACCACCGCTGACTTAGCTTCGTTGGCAGTCTGCGAGGCCTCCGACATTCTGGCAGTGTCCTCCGACATTCTGGTATTGTCCTCGGAAATTCCAGCATTGTTCTCGATTTCCCAGCTATCCATCGTATCCCTGGAAGATAATCGATCAACTGATTTCGCGATTTCTTGGAGTAGCTTCTGAAGTAATTTTAGAATCAACTTTACAAGGAAACCGCAGGATCAGAGCTGAGCGATTTGTTTCTAAACCAGTTCGAGCTCGATCTCGCCTTCTGCTTCGAGCTCCTCCTGCTCTTGATGTCGCGATGCATCATGGAGCTCGATTTCTCACGATTATTCCCATTCCCGTTTTCGCTCGCATTCTCCGGCTTCGTTTTCTCCGATTTCTTCGTCGCCTTTGCGCTGGTGCTTTTCATCTTAGAGAAGGCGTGGCCGGCGGGATCTCTCCTGAAACAGCAGCGGTGACTGCGATACTGCCACCTATTAAGTTCGAAGAAGAATATTAATAATTACATTAAGGTCAGAGAATGATTATTTCCATGGACAGCTACCACAAAGCACAGGTCGTCACCGTCGAACTGAACATGAAGAAGCAGTTCAACACCGTCAGAACGATCAACGGTTCTAACATGATCACGCGGTTCCTTTTCGACAGAGATTGGTTAGGACTGGCTTTGCAAATTTGGAAATGTCAGATGATAGCAGAAATCAGCGTTCGGTCGGCAAATGACGAGCGACGACCCTTGCGACACAGACGTCGCGCGACGAACTAATTCCTCTGTCCAAAGACCTAATTTCCAATTAATTGGACATTAAAATATTCTGCAATCTTCAGTCACGCATTTCCACTGCACATTTCACGCAATTATTCGTAAGAAACGCGCGAAATGACTGGTTGCTGATCAGCCAAGCTGTCGACAGGGACAGTCAGACCCCGCAGAGATGCGATGCCTTCTCTCGACAGGGGTTCCTCAGGGCGCTGTTTAGAGGAGAGGCAGGCCAACAAAGCCACCGGTAACCGCAACGTAATATAAAAACGGAATCTCGATGCCCCCGGCGCATCTGTGTGCGATCATAAGCGATGATATCGCGCGAGGAGAGGTTAGGTCGCAGGACACAATGGGGCTGCGGCCGGACCACCCTCCGGGATCTCACCACCTGCCGCGCGACCCAGCGTTCCCAATTCATTCATTTCGCCTGTCGACGATTAACGTTATTAACGAGCCAACGAAACCCGCGGACGTGCGAATCTTCGGATCGTGTCGCCGGGGGAAGCCGGAAGTCGGTTAGGGCTGCGAAAGTCCTCGATTCGAACGCGAATTCAATTTTCCGATGAATCCACGGTCAATCGGATTCCTGTCGCTAATGTTCGATGTTAGTAACAATGTCAATAAAGTAAAGAAGGCAACGCTAGTGTTCCAGAAACGTTAAGAAGGAAAAAAGGATTCGTTCAGCATCGACAGGGAACCGTGCGAAAATCCTCGAGTGTCCGTGTCCTCGAGGATCCTCGTGAATTATCGCCGGTTCTTTCAATTCCGAAGGCAGCCAGTGAATATCCTCTTTCAGCCGGTGAACAGAGAGATTCGTCCCACGTATAATATCGCGGTCACTTGTCGTCCCATTGAGCCTGCGACCGCAGAAGATTTCCCCCCGAGAAAAACCGTGGTTAGTTTCCACCTACCGCCGCGATGATAATACGCGTCACGCTATTTTCCAGTGGCCGCCTAATTTATCGGCCGGCCGGGGGCCATTGTGTCCGCAGACCACACAGCTAGAACGACACCTCTATGAGCTCCCACGACAGTGGCGATCATCAACCCGCCGCGATCTTTTCCTTTCTTTCCTCCGTTCTGCTCATTTTCCCGTCCTCTTTTGCGGTTTGGGGCTTTTTGACGTCTTTAGCTGGTGGGTTCGAGTGTCTTTTAATAAGTCGATGAGTTATGCGACTCCAACTAGATGGATGCTGCTGGAGATCGAGTCGCAAAAGACACGTTTTCATTCTACTGTGTTTGGAACGTCATGCGGAAACTAGGGATCTATGGTTTAACAGTCATTTTTAAAAATATTCTTAAACTTAAACGTGTTCTAGACAGTTTGT